CAAATTAAGGTGTTTGTAGGGCCATACTCCCTCCAAAACCTATAAGTAAGAATTCTTTTTTGCTTCTTCCATTTTCTGGTAGCCATAGAAGTTCCTTGGCTTGTGTCAACATAATTTTCATCTCTGACTGTTTCCATATAACTGTCTCCATGGTGTATTTTTATCTCTGTGTCTTTTTCTGCTGCTTTTTTCTCTAATCTTCACACAAGGATATTTTTTCCATTGATTTATTTTTTTGGAGAGTGGAGAGGGAGGGATGGAGGGAGGGACATCAATGTGAGAGAAACACATTGATTGGTTGCCTGCAACTGAGGTACATGCCCTTTACTGCAACTGAGGTAAGTACCCTTTGGTCCCAGAGACCGGCTCTAACCACTGAGCAACCGGCCAAGGATCTGTTCCTTCTTATAAGGACAGTAGCCATATTAGATTAGAACCCACCCTAACGACCTGGTTTTAACTTGATTATAACTGTAAAGATCATATTTCCAAATAAGACCACATTTACAAGAATTAAGACTTCCACATATATTTTGGGAGGACATAATACAACTCATACCAGGGAACTTGTCAGTTAGTGTTTGATGAGAAAAATCAAGCCATCCCATCTAATTAAGAGGGAATATGCTAATTGACCCTCACGCTATTGCAAAGATGGCAGCGCCCACAGCCAATAAGGAGGGGATATGCTAATTGACTGCCACACCCTCAAAGGTGGCAGTGCCCACAGCCACAAGATGGCAGTGCCAAGTCCCCTCAGCCCGCAGGGCGGGCCCAGCTGCTCTGTGAGCCTGCCTCTGGAGTCCCCCAGTCCCTTCAGCCCCCCAGCCACCCAGGGCCAGCCTGAGGTGCAGGCAAGTCTCAGATGGCGGCTGCCCAGCCGCTCAGGGCCGCCTGAGGCTCAGGTAACCAGGGCTGGCTGAGGCTTGCGCTGCCAGCAGTGGCAGCAGCAGAGGTGTGATGGGGCGTCACCTTCCACTGATCACCGGGTCACCTCCCGCCCCTGAGGGCTCCTGGACTGTGAGAGGGGGCAGGCCAGGCTGAGGGACCCCCCTCCAGTGCATGAATTTTCATGCACTGGGCCTCTAGTTATGAATGAAAAGGAATAAGGGATTTACTACAGTGACTTGACTCTGCAATTATGGGACCCAATTAAACAGTTTATGTAAGGCTGCTGCTTTTGCATGTGGTGATGGTGTTAAAGTTTGGAGAATTAACTTGTTTCCCTTAGAAAAGGGGAAAATTTGGACATAGGCACACATGTAGAGGGTAGATGGTAGGAAGACACAGGGAAAAGACGACTATAAGCCAAGGAGAAAGGCCTGGAATAAATCATCCCCTCATGGTCCTCAAACCAACCAACCATGACAACACCTTAACTTTGGACTTCTATCCTCCAGAACTGAGACAATAAATTTCTGTTGCTTAAGCCAACTAACCTGTGGTACTTTGTTAAGGCAGCCTTAGGAAACTAATGAAATATTTGCTTATTTACATCCATGTAAATGGACTTTTTATTGGCTAGAATGCAGACTTTAATTTCATTCTTATGATAGCACAAAATATAAAGAAATTAAATTACGTATTTATTTCTGCTATAAATGAATATATTATACATATAACTTTCTCTCTACTGCACATTTTTTAAATACATTAATATTTTTTCTTTTTCTTTTGGCCCTAATTTTATTTTTAAATTATTATTAGTTTTGTCTTTTATCATTTTTTATTTTCAATTGCAGTTGGCATACATTATTATATTCGTTTCAGGTGTATACCCCAGTAATTAGACATTATATAACTAAGTGGTCATCTCGATAAATCTCACATCCATCTGTGAGATAGTTATTGGAATATTATTGATTATAGTCCTATGCTGTACTTTACATCCCCATGACTATTCTGTAACAACCAATTTGTACTTCTTAATACCTTCATTATTTTACCCTCCCCTCTCTTTAAAAACAGTCAGGTAAAAATGGTAAGACGGGGCAACTTTAACAAGTTTACTTTATATTGTTTATAGTACATATTTAGTATAGTCTACTGTTTGCAGTGAGATGAGTGCTAGTCCTTAGTGGAGTAATTTTATACTTCAAAAGAAAAAACTTGTGAGATTTATTTTTAAGATGCTGGGTGAAAGTTGCTACATAAGAGAAAATTATAGAATTATTAACATTGTGCTTATTAATAATAGACTTGATTCTCCCAAAGCATAGTCTCTTGTCTGTAGGTAATTTAGAAGGACTTCTTATATAAGAGAGGAGAAATTAAAGAATACATGTGGTCAAACTAAAATTTTAAAAAAGTAAGAAATAAAGTAGCTTTAGTCAAGAATAGGAAACCATGAAGCTTATGAAAGCAGTCTAACCTTTATAACCTTCCTGAGGTGAACTACAAATATATGAATTTTTCAAAGCATACTATTTACTTAGATTTACCTTCCAATGAATTTGGATTTGCATCACTGAAATTCAGATATTTAGGGCTTGCTTGAATTCTTTGATTGGTGCTTTTTCTAAATATATCTATTAAAACTGGAACTATTTTCCCCATAGACATGCTTGACAGTTTTGAGACATGAACATAGATAGTTTGGGGATTACTTTTTCTAGAAAAGTAGAACAATTTAAAAATAATAGAAAATACCACCTTAATGATTATCTAATGACTAGAGGCCCAGTGCACAAAATTTGTGCACGGGAGGGAGGGTGTCCCTTAGCCCAGCCTGCACCCTCTCCAATCTGGGACCCTTCGAGGGATGTCCGACTGCCC